CATGTTTGTTTCAAAATGACACCTCTGACCAGAGGCACTGCATTTGGGAAGAGAATTAAATCTTCGATCATATTAATTTCGAAGCATAAAACCACGCCACGATTTACGTTGACCGAATGACAAGTTTAATGGAATTAAATTCGTCTGAATTAAATTCGACTGTAGCGCGACGTATAAACTAGGCCTTACTAAAGTAATGAAATGATGGGTCATGTATAAACAAAAACTCGAGAATTCTGATCAGGCTTCATCTTATGAAGACAGGAGGATGGTAAAAAGACCCTTTTAAAAAGTTGTTTTCAAGAGCCATTGTACATTTTTTTTGCATCGCCACATACCCTCCAAGGTTGAAGCCTCTCTGTTGATGTGTTTGTTGGGGTGCCTGTGGTGCATTCATTCCAATTGCTAGTACTGGTGAACTTCTTGAGGAGCTGCTATGGGTCATAAAGGATATAAATGAGAGAACAGGATCAGTATCAGTGAATGCATTACCAAAACAGAGCAATTTCAGTTGAACCTTGACAGTAATTCAAGATTACTCTACTTTCTCTTGGTGTGCACTCCAATCTTTTCTTGGCTTTGCTAGCCAAGCAAATGTAAAACTAAAGAAAATGCACCATAGCCAGTCATATTTTCCCATCCTACTGCCAGCTTATAATCATTTCTTTTGAGTTCTTATTGACTCCTTGTAATATTTCTCCTTTATTAATTGGCTGATATGATTTCTTTTATTGAACTGGTTTTCTGAGATTCAACCCAAAAGTACTCTATTTGACCATCCCAGTGGAATCAGATAAAGAACATCAGGGTTTACATTCCAGAGAAAGACTGAATGAAAATGAATGAAAATACTTTTTGAAGGCTTTAAGGGAAAGAATTGTTCTGAAGCTTGCTCTTAGTTATTTTACTGAAAAAAAGGAATCTAATGAAAGGAATAAATTGCCTCTGTTCTTTTATCACATACAAAGCCAAATTGAGCTTTTAGAGTTGAGTAACAGTTCTAACCAACCCCTTCTGAGTCAGTAAAAAATGAGCAAGATATAAGAAATAAATTTAACCCTCTTCAAGCAGCATGAATTCTGGTACTATGTTATGTATCATTGTAAGATTCCTCAGGAACAAATCAACTGCCTTTCTTGTGACAAACAACACCTTTACTATTCAATCACTTTTTCTTCTTTGTCATTGATTTCCTAACCAGAATTAAATTTAACCCACCTTGATAACGATGATGGTATGGAGATTGTTCTACTTGTCTTTGGCAAATTATTGAGACCACCCTGGTTTCCTAAGTGACCAGGACCAGGTGGCATTTGCCCCATCACTCCTCTGGGACCCATAGACAAGATCCCTCTACTGCAGAAACAAGCAATTAAGATCAACAGTCAAATGCATTGATAACATGTCATTAGGAACAATTGATTTCAAGATTTTTTGGGTAAATTTCCAGGATAAGACCTGAACCAGTAAAAATCATAATTTTACTTTAAAGGCTGGATCCATACTTTTAATGGCCCTCATTACATATTATGAGTTTGTGCAAGAGCCACCATGGAACTCAGCTTAAAGGGAAAGTAGGGTTAAGAAAAAGTTTACTTAAATCAAAAGTTCCTTTCTTGACCTTTCCTAACTGGCCATTCATTTGAGCTGAAAATGATTTTGTAACAGTCATGTTCCAAAAAAATAACATTTTCAAATTAAAAACCGTTGTCTTTGTTATGACATAACTATGATGTAGCAATAGTCAAGCATGCTGACTTAAATCCCTGCAGTGTTAAGAGGCAACTTTCGCAGCTGATCTTAATGTGAAGTTTTCCTCAACTAAATCTCAAGCCTGATTGAAATAGCCTCAAAAAACCAACAGAAAGACCTCCATATCTGTTATAGAATGTTAGTTCACATTTGGCAGTAGCTAATTCTACAATGTTCACCTTGCTGATTGTGATGACATATTTCCTCCCTGTGATCCCACCATGTTGTGAAGACTGGATGGAATGCTGGGTACACCGGGAGTGGTTACACTTCCACTGAGCGACGTTGTGGAGTGGGTAGGATTAGGATGTGACAAGCTTCTGCCAAACTAAACACATGAAATATCAAAATGTGTCTATTAACTATTAGTTAATTTGGTTAGGCAGGGGACGTTAAAGAACCCACTCACGAGATTACTGTGATGTGGTCTGGCCTGTTTACTGGGAATTGGGGGGAGGGGGCATCTTCAAATAAGTTTCCTTCGATTGTTTGTAAACTGCTGATGCAGTCCGGCCAAAGTCCCCTGAAAAGTGTTGTGATGCGCATTTGATCATATCCACATGTTAATTTGTGCAATATAAATATTAAACTATTATCATTATTAATATGGACTAATATACTGGTGTTTGCATTAAAACTCCTTTTTGTTACCTCTACAACCTTTTTTAATTGGGTAAACTAGAAATCTAATCCTAATTGGTTGTGAAATATGACAGAAAAATTGAGTAATAATGTGTTACTGAGTCTCATCATGTAACTTGTTCTTGCTGAGGCAGAGAACCAGTAGCTTGACAAGATCACACAATGGCTTCACAGGAGGCTAAACTTCTACATGATGATTAAATTCATAAATACCTGAGCAGACGACATTCCTCTTGGAGCACTTGGTGGAACCTGCATGGAGTTGACATTTGGAGGAAGTCCTAGTAAATGACAACAATAAATCATGTAAAACCACAAAACAATCACTAACAAACAATGAAAACGTTGCCAACAATAAAACTGTACCAAGCATGAAAAGACAAAAGAATATAGACCAAATATCAACAAACATGGAGTTCACAGATGAGGTGAATAACCTTCTAATTAATTAAAAAAATATGGCTCTTTACCCCCCAAAGTTTCTCAACTCTAAGGCATAACATTGGTGAGTCACCCTTTGTGAGTATTGCATCTCTTCACTGGTTCATTCACCTTTAATAACTTACTGTTGAAAGTCAACTAAGTGTTCATGTGCCTGCTGATAGTAAACTTGTCAATTTGTGTGTTTATTGGAACTAATACTACCAAGGATATTACCGGTATGTTGGATTTACTACTAAAGTACGGTAAATTAAAATCAGGTTTATTTCCTAAGTTTCAATGGAAGATGTAACAAACAGTTTCAGCTATTTTTTTTTTTTAAATTTATTAGCTTTGCTGACAGGCAGGGTCCCCATAACAGCTTGCGCCAATTACTGCGGGCCCTAGTACCAACCCATCCCACCCCAGGAGAGGACATCCACCACACAGTGATCTCGTGCATGGGAAATTAACATCTCCTACCCCAACCCTGCAGGAGACAGGACCTACGGTTTATTTGTCCTTATCCAAGAAGACTAGAATGTCTATCCATTTCCTGATAATTTTATTATAGAAAGTTAGCACATTCTCCTCAGCAGTAATTTTAAGACCTTAAGTATTGGTCCGGCCAGGGCTCAAACCCTCGACCTCCCGCTCAACAGTCCAGCTACTTTAAAATCCTCTAATGACCCTGACCATAGCCAGGGCTGAAAATGGCTGTCCAACCAATTACAGCTACTGTCTAACAGTATTTCTTAACACACGGTTTTCCCAAATGAAAAATAATGAAACTGGAGACTTGATTGGATTCATGTCTTCTCAGGAAAGAAAAAATTAATTGTGAAATGACACATGAACTTAAAAAGTTTATACCTGAGCTTGGGAGCCCTGAGCCATAAAAATTAGATTGGTGAGGTCCAGGTGATTGCATACCAGAAGGTGTTCCATAAAGACCCCCAAGATGAGGCTGCAAAAGAAACATATTTTGTCATGATTGGTTGGCAGGTGTTACTTGCTCTTGGTTGATATCAACACAAACATTATAGTACACAAGAAATAAAAAGGAAAAGGAGACAAGACCCTTTCAAAAGTAAAGTGGAAACATTACCAAAATGTAGATTATTTACTTGTCTTATCTTAAAAGTCACTCTCAGACAAAGCTTAATTGAAGAACAGTGAAAAGTCAAATATTGCTAAGGGCTACAGGTATACTATGAATTAACCACAAACAATGCAATTATGTACAATGTAATTATGTACAATGTAATTAGAGCCATTCATGGAAAGTCTCACAAGTTATAAACAAAGCATAACTTTAACCTCTTTCTCTGGTCTGTGTGGAGGAAACATTGAAGGATTAAAGTACATTCCACTTGATCCATAATCATCTTCCCCATCATCATTAAAAACAGGCAACTTTTTCCTCAGTGAGCCAATAGCTGGCATGTTTTTCCTACCACCTAAAGATTAAAGCAGAAGGCCTTGTATTAATACACCAAGACTTTATACCATCCCAGGATTGGTTTCTGGAAACACAGTCGGGTTGACTGTGCGTATAATTCTGAGGACTGGATAAGAAGACAACATTCAGTTTCCCACCTCTTCTAAAGAGAACTTGGCTTTGAACCATGGTTTATTAGCACGTGCTCTATACAGCTAACATCATGATTTTCCTCTTACTCTATTTTTTTTTTAAATACTCACTGCTTTACATAAATATTCTGCTAACCTACTTACTGTATACCCACCATGCCTGCAACTTTGGAGGTATACCGAATTTACCCATGTATAATAGGCACCCTTGTTTTTAACCTAATTTATCAGAAAAAAAAGTTTTCACGGCAAAAAGACAAGTTAAATATTCCTACAAATATTTATTAAGACAACAAGAATAAAAAAATAAACTATATCGTTAACATCAATATCTTTTGCTACTTAGTTATTTATGATATTATTGAAATCAAATTTTAGGACTTCAAGTGAGGCCTAGCTAATTTGACAATTCCATGGCCTGGTAAATATTATGAGTGAGCAACAATATGTCCAAAAAGTATTGAAGATTTTGTGTCATATCGTCGTATTTTTAGAATTTTCAAACTAACACTATGCGATTTTCTGGCGGTTAAGTCAAGTAAACAACAATATAACCATGATGAATTCCACTGCATGCGCTTTGTACACATAAGAAATTTGTGTGGTTTTCGCTTAAAACAGCAAATCAAGAACTGCTTTAAATAGAGCTTTGGTCCTGAAATATTTCTTGCTCACTTTCTTCTTGCCTCTCATTGAAAATTTCCATATGAAATCTCTTCACACGCAGCCAAATTTGCATATTCCCTTTGAAATCTGATCCACGTGCCTGTTTGTACACTTGTGAAAATATTTAGCGATTTTTGTCTTTCCTCTTGATTTTAGAGTAATATGCACCTATAATTTTTCATTGAAATTAAGTTATTTAATCAAAGCTTTAAATGTCTGACTTTTTTGTTGTGTTTTTATGTATGCATGTTAGGATGTGCATGACAAACAATGGAATCTGTGTATAAAATGCACCGCGATTTTGATGGTTATTTTTGTAGAAAAAAAGTGCACATTCTACATGTGTAAATATGGTATTTAAGAACTTATAACTGAGTTTCATGTGACAAAAAATTCAAATTCTTGGTGAATTGCAAGTAATTTTAACTTACAGTGGCCAATCAGGGATCATTAATATCAAATAAGTTATTATCAGTAGTGTCTACTCAACCTGAACTACTTGTTTTATTATAATATTATATTTATTATAGTTCTTTATGATATAACATGCCTCTTCTGCTCTTTGTCACTAACAATAAAAGAAGAAACTGTCTGCATAGATGCTATTGCTTATAAGGAATGTAGGTCCCAATGGGTCAGCTATTTAAAACAAAGTCTATTTTGGACTGCACTTTTTGACATCCAATGGACTTCAAAAGTTGGGTTTTTTAAAGCTATCAGATCTTTCTTTTGGTGACAAATGTAAGGCAGCCGTTTTGAGAGTATCACTAAGACTTTACATTTAGGTGATAATTTCTGCTTGACTTAACCCATTAACGTCCAGTGCGCCCGNAGATTACTTATAATTATGCTAATTTTTAAATTGCCAATTCTATTCTAACTTTCAACAAATAGCCTAGATTAATGTTTTCTTTGTCCTTTTTTAAACTTAAAATGCAAACATGTATATACCTGCCAATCATTAACAGATGATGCACGCAAGGACCACACACACAAAATGCATATTTTGAAATCATAATTTCAAAATGCAACAAGACTGTTTTACCTGGGGAGAGATCCTGTTGACCTTTCCTCGGAGGAAATGGATATCTGATTTAAAACAGGGAAACAATAATATTAAGAATCACTACACTGATGAGTATTCAATAAATACATGTACATCTCACAGAAGCAAAAATCACACACTGAAAATATAGATTGACAAACATGACTCAAATGCTGTCAAACTTCTGATGAGAATTTCACTGTTAAAGTTCCCACAATAAGGCATAACAAGCCTGGCTATCGTTTATGCATGGTTATTATTCCTAGATGATGACCCCAGGCTTAAGCCAGTCTGGGATTCCTAATTACCACAGCATCAGACATGAGTGAGTGTGTGAGTGACTTATTTGTGTATAAGAGTCCCCATATTTGGAACTGGTTTGAGTACAAGTAATGATGACTGCAAAAAAATTATTCTAATTTGGAATCATGATCTGATTTGGAAAAGGGGCTCACTCTGTGTCTTGTCAAAGACCTTTCACAGGGAATTTTAACTTGTAAATACCAGTCTGAACCAGACTTACTGGATAAAGAAATCAAGTTTCATTGACTGAATAGAAATATGGCGTCCAATTTGAATTGCCATTGTTCTGGACTTACTAGCCTCTCACACATGTGATAATCCTTTTCTGTTTCCACGTGAAGACGAGGCTAGTAAGTCCAAAACAATGGTAATTCAAATTGGACGCCATATTTCGATTCAGACAATAGAATTTAAAATTAATCGAAATCCATTGGAAATAGAGTTATTTCGGTAATACTCTATACTCACTGGTTTATTCCAGAAAGTGGATCACCCAAGGGGCGATGGTGTGCCATTGGCAAAGGAGAACAAATCTAAAAAACCAGTACAGGTGGTCAAGACCTTAGGAGAGAGGATAACATTAGGAACCACTTGCCAAGTGCAGTCTTCATATGATTTGATACAATGAAATAGCGCAACCATTATGTCCTATCAAAAAACTATCACCTTCAATTGGGTAAAAAAAGAGGGGCAAGGGGGAATGACTTTCATTATTTTAAACTCATGCACAAAGAAATTTTGCAAAGGTTCCCAGATTTTGTAATGAAAAAAATATCACAGCCCTTAAATAACAAAATTAAACCAAATTAGAGCACATATAAAATACAGGCCCATTGAGGGAGTAGGAAAAACAGTTACAGTGGAACCTTGATTTAATTTAGTGCCAAGGGACTAGGGAAATTGATTTGTTAGATCAAGGATTCACTATACAGAAAACCTCGATTTAATAAATTTGAGAAAAAAATGTTCATTATATCGAGGTATGGTTAATAATTGTTGTTATTGTGTGAGTGTGTGTGTGTGTGTGTGTGTGTGTGTGTGTGTGTGTGTGTGATGTTGTGCTTACTGTCTATATGAAGCTTAAGTACACTGTACAGGTCTGTACAGAGCTGCAGCACTGGAAACTAAATGGGCCAACAAATTATTAACAGTTGCAACTGGCTTGTCAAATGTCGTAGTGAAAAGGTTAATGGATAGTGTAACCAAACAGAAACTTTAAACAAAAGAAAACCACTTTACTTTACTACTAAAATTGCTAATCAAGTTGCAGAACAAAAAATTCTCCAGATGAAAATTGCCTCATTTTGTCATTCTTTACTTTACTACTAAAATTGAAGATCAAGATGCCCAATCAAACATTCTTCCAATGAAAATTGCGTCATTTTTTGTCATTTTTTACTTTACTACTAAAATTGCTAATCAAGACGCTTAATCAAAAAATAATTGCCTTATTTCCTCATATTTTGTCTTTTGTGAAAATGCGCCTCTCATTCAAGAGAAAGAGCACAGAAATTCCCTTTCATGAACAGTGAACAGTGTGTATAGTATTAAACAACAACACTACTGTATAGTACTGCACTGTTGGTCTGTTTCGCATTTGTATTTGGTCAAGTGTTGACATTTGTTCAATATATCAGGGTATCAGTATACGTTTGGGCTTCATGAAACAAGGAATTTATTATAATTATCAAGGTTCATTATATCGAGGTTCTGTGCCGTATATTTGGCTGTAACTTTAACCAGGCTAAAGAGTATCATTCGTTGTACCAAGGACTTTGTTGTATATAGGTTCATTAAATCAAGGTTCCACTGTAATTAATACTATGAGATTTACCTATAAGTCCCTAGATGTAAAGTCACACTATCAAATGTAGATTGCTTAGTGTTGTCTACTGCACTGCTTTTCTTCATTAAGCACTAATGATAACTTGTAACTTTTAAATTCTCCTTGGTATTCCCGCAGTTTGGTGTTGTTTCCTCACACTTCTACTATGTTAACAAATGGCTGTTTAGGCATTTTAGAAGCTTTGAAGGAACAATATCAATTATACCTCAAAACATTCGACTCCATATAACAATGCAATGCCAACTTTATTTCGCTCCAACAACAGTGATTTACAGAACTCAACCAGAAAAAACAAGAAAAACGAGTTCAACGGCCTCTTGGTCCCATAAGTCCTTGCAGTCACACACCAGAGTGCCTTTTTGTTTCCCTCCACCATTTTGAACGACGCATTTCTCAGTCATTGCTGATGAATTGGACAAATCAGACTAAAACACCGGTGATTTACTGTCCCAGGGACCTTCACAGCCTTCTATGGACCTCTGTGTTGAAGGTAAGCGCTTCAGTCAGGCGCTGTTAGCCAACTGTGGTTTTATTTAGGCGATCTCCTCAGCTATCGTCTCTGGTTTGTCAGAGAGCGCGGGAAAGCCACATGGCTCCACAACACGTCCTGAACTACCTGGAACTAAACGTTCTGCCAGTGAGCTTGATGGCCCCAGAGATTTGGTGGAAAAGTCTGTTGACTCCACCAATGCTAGCCAGTTGGCTAAACATTTTAGACATGATTCTCCCTTTCACTGGGAAATCGAGCCTGCTGTAAACATCGATGACTCTACCAACGAGTCAGAAGTTCAGGGTGAATGTTCTGACAGTGTGGAAGCCAGTGCAGCCAGATGGCAGGCTTCGGAAGAGCTCTCGACCTTTCTAGGCACAACAAGGACACCATTATCAAAATCTGACAAGCGTCAGATGGTTAAAGATTACCCTAGACCCAATTTGGATGCCCCGTTCACTCCACGCTTGGACTCTTACCTTCCTGGTCTCATGGGTGGTCTAACTGGCCCTGAGGCAAAGTTGAGGGAGATTCAAGATAAAGTGCTCGACATTGTGGGCCCTCTTAGGACTGCCCATGAACACTTACTGGACAAGCTTGATACCCCTTCTTCTATTATCCAGTTCTCAAGAGAGGAAGGGACTGGCCTCATGGCAATCATCCAAAGGTCAATTCAGTTGGCCAAACACGCTTCAGCCACAATCTCACAAAAACATAGGGTAGGAGTCCTATCTAAGGTAAACAAGGCTTATGCATCCCTTGGTAAGGAGGCTTTCCCTGATGCAGGCAAAGATCTATTTGGCAAAGGTTTTGAGTCACTTCTTAAAGAGCGTACAGAAAGGGCAAAAGCAATTACTGAAGCTAAGAAAGTGGGGCAACAGCTTTTTTGGCCCGCCCCTCCACATGGATGCCCCTACCTGGCACGTGCAGGGTCATGGAGCAACCTACGACGTGGGACCTGCCAAGGACATTGGGAAACCAGATCCCATCCTTTTCAACCCAAGGGAAGGGGCTTTCTCCCACCCACAAGCCAAACCTCAACCAACCAGTGAACAAAGGTATGTTCCTCAATCTTTTACCAGTAAACAGAGCCCCAGCACAAGTAGCTGGATGCCTCAGATTTTTTCAGAACAATTGGCATCTTATTACGGACAACCCTTGGGTGTTGGAGGCTATTATGGGTTACAAAATAGAGTTTCATTCTTTGCCTCGCCAGGTAGCCTGGCCTTGCACTTTCATGTCAACAGCCCAGCAGGAGGCTGTTCAAGCAGATAGAAAAAATGGCTCTGCAAGGAGCCATCCACCCAGTCTTCTCCAACACTGATGGGGGATTCGTCAGCAGTATAATTCTAGTTGAAAAAAAGGATGGTTGTTAACCTAAAGAATCTAAATTCCTTTGTGAACTTCCAACATTTCAAAATGCAGGGAATTCATATGTTACGAGACCATTTAAAAAAAAGGGAATTTTATGGTCAAACTGGACTTAAAAGACACCTACTTCACTGTCCCAGTCTGGAAAGGCCATCAAAAATTCTTAAGGTTCACCTGGAAGAAATCTCTCTGGGAGTTTGCAGGTCTCCAATTCGGGCTGGCCAGTGCACCCAAGTCATTCACCAAACTCGTGAAACCCGTTGTGGCAACCCTTTGGAACTTGGGGATTTGTTTTGTTATATATCTGGACGACCTTCTCATCCTAGCATATTCAGAGCAGTCTGCCAGACTCCACCTGGCAACAGCTATGAATCTCCTAGAGAGTTTGGGGTTTATCATCAAACCAAAAAAGTCTGTTTTAACTCCAGTGCAGATAATAGAATTCCTGGGTATGTCCGTGGACTCAGTATCCCTGTGTCTTGCCCTTCCTTGAGACAAAGTCAGGAGTATCCGCAGAGAATGCGAAGGCCTGATTGCCAATCCAATTACGACAGTGAGGCAATTAGCCCATCTCCTAGCCCGGCTGAGCTCATCCCTTCAAGCAGTGTTCCCTGCCCCTCACTATTACCGCTACCTGCAGCAGGCAAAGATCCAAGCACTACAATTGGGAGGCCATTATGAGTCTCAGGTCTTTCTGAACCAAGAGGCAATAGAAGAATCACAATGGTGAGCAGAGAGAACCTTATGGCTTGGAATAGGAGGGCCCTTGCCCACCCAGACCCCAACATGGTAATGGAGAGCGACACCTCAAAGGAGGGCTGGGGTGCCCTTTGCAGTGGAGCGAGTAAAGGCAGCCTCTGGAGTCAATCCGAACAGTTTCTCCATATAAACTGTCTGGAGCTTCTAGCAGGTTACTTCATGATCAAATGCTTCCCAAAGGGCAAAACAAACATTCACATTCAGCTCTGGATGGACAATTTGGCTACAATTACATTCATCAACAAAATGAGGGGAACCAAATCTTGTGCCCTCGCCTCTCTGTCTTGCAACTTCTGGCAGTGGTGTCTTCAGAAGCAGATAACAGTGTCTGCTACTCACATCCCAGGGATCCTGAATGTGACTGCAGACAGGGAATCCAGGTATCTCCTGGACTCCTCCGATTGGAAGCTTTGCCCAGTAGTGTTCCAGACCCTTCAGAACCTTTGGGGCCCTCTGGAACTCGACCTGTTTGTGTCTCGGTTGACAAACCAGTTACCTCACTTTGTGAGCTGGAAACCAGACCCCCATGCAGAAGCAGTGGATGCCTTCTCCCTTCAATGGAACATGGTCAGGAGTTATGCCTTTTACCCCTTCTGTCTTCTAGGCAGGTGCCTCAGTCAAGTTCTGAGACAACAAGTCCCATATCTTGTACTGGTAGCACCAGCGTAGAAATCTCAACCCTGGTATCCCCTCTTGCTGGATCTTTTAGAAGACTTGCCAGTCCTTATTCCCCAGTCTCCCAATCTTTTAACCCGGGAGGGAGTGTCCCACCCTCTGACCCACCTCCAACTGGGAGGATGGCTTATCTCTGGCAACAGTTTGAGGAGGAGGGCTTTTCATGCCAAGCTAGAGAGCTCCTCTCAGCAGCTTGGAGGAAGAATACCTCTGACCAGTATGCCTCTGCTTGGAGAAAGTGGACCAGCTGGTGCTCTCTGAGGAAAATTAATTCCGTTTCAGTGTCTCTAAACAACATCAATAATTTTCTTGCGAGCGAGTTTTTGCAGGGAAAGCAGTACCAAACACTCAATGTTTACTGATCTGCCATTTCAATGACCCACCCAACAATTGACTCTGTACAGGTGGGAGAGCACCCCATGGTTTGCCAGTTGTTGAAAGGAATTTTTAATTCTAGACCTCCACAGCCCAGATACTCCTTCACCTGGGAGGTGTCTATGGTTGTTGAGTATATTAGAGGTCTTGGGTCTAATTCATTCTTATCTTTAAAGATGTTGACTCAAAAGCTTGCAATGCTCTTGGCTTTGATTTCTGCAGATAGAAGCTCTGAACTGGCTGCCCATGACCTAGGTTTTAGACAGTTTTATCCTGAAGGGGTAGTGTTCAACCTTCCTTGCCTGACTAAGTCTATTTGAACTGGAAAGAATTTATAGCAGTCCTTTCATGCCAGCTTCCCTGACGATAAAAACTTGTGTGTTGTCGAGTGCCTCAAATGAATCCCGTGCTAGGGAGATGAGATCTGTTCTTGCTGGCAAGGAAAATCGGCTTTTCCTGTCAGTAGTCCAACCTCATAAACCCGTTTCCGCTAGTATGGTTGCTAGGTGAGTATGAAGTCTGCTACAAGCAGCAGGTATTGACACATCTCAATTTAAACCTCATTGTGTGTGTGGGGCATCGGCCTCTACTGCTGCCAGGGGTGGGGTCGGTTTGTCAGATATTTTGGCCACGGCCTGCTGGTCATCTGACTCCACTTTTAAGCATTTCTTCTATAAACCTGTGCTTCACCCTGACTCAAGTAGGTCAGTTCTTTCCATTCCCAGGGTAGGTAGCCATCTTTGAACATGCATTGTCACATGGAGTCAAATGTTTTGAAGTATAATCTCAGATTATACAAGGGACTGTAGGTCCTGAAGTATAAGATAGATTATACGAGAAACATGAGAAGGAATGTAACAATGCAATCCCACCCACACCCATAACCCTCATGTTTGACGTTTCTTTGTTTTTGCATTTTTTCTCTTGTTTTCTGTTCTTTCCAGGTTGGCTTGCTCAACAAAAAGGCACTGTGGTGTGTGACTGCAAGGAGTTATGGGACCTGGAGGCCATTAAACTTGTTTTTCTTGTTTTTTTCTGGTTGAGTTCTGTAAATTGCTGTTATTGGAGCGAAATAAATGAATAAAGGCTGATAGTTTCTAAAGAAATAAAGTTGGCCTTACATTGTTACATTCCGTCTCATGTTTCTCATATAATCTATCTTATACTTCAGGACCTACGGTCCCTTGTATAATCTGGGATTTGTTGAAATAACATCTGTAACATTTCTTTGTTATTTTGAACTATGAACAAACACATCTTTAATAACAGAAATGTTACTGTGATTCAGTAAGGTGTAGCACCCCCTGTCTACAGAGTACAGCAGATGTGTGTGCCTTGTTTTTCTTTCCTTACAACACATTCAAGCATTAGAATTGCTTTTCTGAAATCTCATCAAATTCTGCCACACTCTACAGACTGGGTTGATCCTGTATTCTACAGCTATGAAGCCAAAAGATCATGCTCCAAAACATATCTGATACCTCATCCAAACCTACTCCAATAGTAAAGTAGATTTAGCTCAATGTTTTCTTCTAAACCTGTTACAATACTTATCACCATAAAACTGTTTGTGAGGGGCTGTTAAACTTAACTTGAACACTTAGGCTCAACACTAACAGCAAGCTGGTAAGCAACTGTGAATAATCATACAACAAATTCTATCATCTTGTACACAGTCCTCAGAATTTTGGTGGAAAACCAACAACTTGTGTTTTGATAATAAGGTAGGGTGGCACTACCTTATGTAGCTTCCTTTACATTACTGAGAGAAAGTATCCGTTTACACGAACAGCACTCCAATTCAAGCCAAATTGTTCTCCTCGTATGCATAAATTATTTTGATATGACGCGCAAGAACATTGAAAATGTAAACAATAAACAAATAGACATCATAAACATCAAATCTCATAACGGGAACAGACTTGTTTGTTCCATGCCAAACAAGGTAAAATGACATCAGAAACACTTTCAGAAACCACTCTATCCACCTGGGCAATTTTTTTGAAACCGTACATTTTGCAGCTTAAATGTATATTAAATCACCTGTGTTAACTGTATCCTGACAAAATTAACTCCAGCTTAGGTTGTTTTAGATAAAACTTTGGTCACAACCTTGTCACAGTACCCTTTCGCTTCAAAAAGTCGATTCGTTTTGGTACATGCGGAACACTATGCAACACGCTGACCTTCATATGTTGCTGGCTCATATGAATAGAGATTTGGTCATCGTTGGACCCCAGCAAAAGACGCATTGGTGTGGTCTCACTTCTAGCGCCGCAAATATGTCATACGAGAGCAAAGTGAATATGTTGTGGCACGGAGGAAGTCATAACCTGTCAATTTATGGACCAGTTCTTGTGCAAAGTCTGGGAAAATATCAAACACGGAATCAGGTTTCCCGGAAATAGAAAAAAAACGAAAGTTTTAAATTTTCTGAAGACGATTTTTTCACGTTGCAGTGCTGCTCTTTTAGTTCAGAATTTTGGCCTTAATAGTCATACAAATAATGAATAACGCTAACCTATTATTCCATGTTGTTTGAAACAGGTAAAAATGAAAAAAAAAACACCCGTTCATTCTTTATACGAAATCTGGGCATTTTCGAGAGAGGAACGCGGGAACGAGGCTAGATGGACTTTGAACTCCGCTTTCAACACTGTTTACTAATTCGCCCGCTAAGGAGGTGTGTGTGTCGGCGTGTAAATTTTGTAGCCAAAGAACACGAGAACCGTTTTGTGTAACAGTTAGTGTTTATAATCTCTGCTGAGCTGATAACGTAAATAGTCCTTGGAACCTGTAAGGAATCAGTATGGCTGAAGCTAGGCTTGGCGTAGTGTTTCAATTCCAAGTGACCGAGGATGGAATTGTCGTCAATTTCGACAGACACAGTCTTAAGTCTGTCGGTCGAGCTATGGTGAAATCTGCTAAACGGCGAGTTAAGGTTGCAAAGAAGGCGATTTTAAAACGATCTTTTCCTGCAACCCCAGCTTCTTGGATTCTTCTTGTTGCTGCCTTGGGTGGTGCTCGATATTCAGAGCATGAAACAACTCTGGGAGTATTGGGAAGGTTGGAACGTGGAATGCCTTGGTAGGTAAAAATATTTAGTAGATGGACTTTGCCCGCCTTGTCGAAGATTGGAAGAAGTCCTATTTCTTTGCCCATTAGCTGTTAGAAACCTAGTAATAAGATTTAAAACTACTTGAGTTGAGCCTATGTACCTCATATATTTAAATATTCGTGCTCTTTTCTCTGGTTAAGATTTTGCTATAAAATTTGCGAAGGTCAAGATGACCTTAGGCAATAAGCAGAGTCATCTGACACGAGTGAAAATCTGAATCGCGACTTGTTTTATTTTCTCTAGATCGGTACTTTTGAATCCTTTATTTTTTATAAAGAAAGAGCAGCATCATTGAAATTTGTGTTTACGTTACAATCATAATTCATGCATTTAATGCCAGACAGGTGTTAAAATGAAGATAATCATCATCGATAATAAATATTATATTTGTATATATGTACAGAACTTTGCCCATTTGTCGCCGAATCTTGAGGTTTGTTGGGTCAATTAGACCTTACGTAATTCCTCTTCCTGAAAAAACGTCAGATGAGGATGTGGCAAATAGGTGTGATCTTAATATTATAATAATGCTAATATAATATTTGTTACTTGGAAAGTTCGCCGTGGGGTTTTTACGTAGTCACTTTTATTGTCAAAGTAGGCTCTTTTTCAACCTCTACTGAACAGATCGGAGTGAAACCTCGATTTTGTAGCTTGCCAACCATATGAAAACTGTTGATCATTTTATTAACAGGATCTAATTAGGTATTTAGATGGTTACCACCAGAGAAGAAACTATCCCTTTTCTGCTAACATTGTATGCATAATTACTTTCGTTATATCTTGTTTCTTTTGTTAAGTTGATTAGGGAAAAGGCACACATGGTGTGACAACAGTGTCCCGTGGGGATTGGAAGGAACCCAGCCAGCTTTATTTGTTGTGGGCTATGAGTTTTTCCTTGGGTCATATTTAATTTGTGGCAGATATTTAAGTATATTAAAAATAATGCAGGAAATGATATTTTGAACTGAGATGAAGATTGTGTAGGATGACAATCCAATCATTTTAATTATTTACTCACAGATTAGGTCTATGTTTAGAAGAACCAACTGCCAAAAAATTTTTGGTACATGTTCAAGGATAAAGTGGCAGATAGTTTTTTTTTTTTTTTGGTTCAATTCGAGTTGAGTGCTGGTTGGGGTTGTGGGTGGGCCTAAATCAATGAATATAACAACTAGTGTGAACTTCCTAATGCTGACCCTACAGTGAAGTTGTACTTTGGTATCACAATTTGAAATGGTTAATGATTGTCAAAGGTTTAACTTGGGCAGAATGTATATAAAAATTCTTTGCTTAAAGTTTTAAATTTACTGACGTTATGAAATTTAGACTTTGAACTGAGAAAATTCAAACTATTTTCTTTCTGAATAAAGGCTGATAGTTTCTAAAGAAACTGTTTGGGGCTGTGTCGGTGGTGGTAATGAAATAATTTGGATATATCAACAAAGTCGAAATGGTAAATTAGCCACCGTAACGATTACAAAAGCCGATGTTTCAAGCGTTAGCCCTTCGTCGGAGCGAATAGAGGAATTGTGGGTTGTGTGTGCTTTTAAAGGTAGAGAATGAAGCTACATTATTGGTTGGAACGTGGCAACAAGAAAAACACGAATAAATTAGTGGAATGAAAAGCGTTCATTGATCCCCGTGGGATTTAGACTGCCGGTTTGAAAGCTCATCTTTCTGAAGCACCTACACAGTTTGCATATATTATACATTATAATGTGTTTTTGTTCTGTTTTGCAATGTCTATTACACTACTACCCACATACAACCACAAGAGATAATTAATTTTACATGA